CTGCCTGCGACGCGCTGATGAGATCCAAAAAGATCGAAATCGCGATCCGCGTCTGGCAGTTTCGACAGAATACAGACCACTTCAAATTATTTTATTCGTTTATGGTAACGTGGCTACCACGTTGAGGTGAGCTACGCCGGGATTCGTTTCAGCAAGTAGATATCCATATATTTAAATGGACCTAGCTGAAGCATATGTAATCCTAAAATGTAGCACTCTACAGATGGCGTTTACAGCGCCATTTGTCGTATTTTCTAAAACGCGCTGTTAAGGCAGCAGGTAAAAGTTGGTCTGTGTTCTGTCGGAGCTGCCTGCGGAGCGCTGATGAGATCCAAAAAGATCGAAATCGCGATCCGCGTTTGGCAGTTTCGACAGAATACAGACCACTTCGAATTATTTTACAAGCAGTATAAATGAATAAAAATTAAATAACATCATTATACCGATATTTTTATTTTTGTCGCAAAAAATATTTTTTCAGGTGTCCGGGTAAAAAACCATATTTCGCTCGAATGTCCGGGATTTTCGCCGTGTTTATCCGGCGTCGGCAATTTAGGTTATGGCAACCCCATATTAGCAGCAACAATAGTCTGAGATAGTTTTTGTAGGATTTTGGGCATTAAAGAAACTTAGCCGTAGTCAAAAGGACCATTTTTTTTGTATTTTGAAATTAGGAGAATAAAACCCATGTATTAATTTTTAATGTTCGTATTATTCCTTAAAAAAATGTTTAAAATCGAAATACACCGACTGCTTGCACTCCGATAATCGATAATAAACGTGTTCCAACAAAATTGTACCTGTGCAGATCTTGATAATGTCACGACATGACTTATTAATTGTACAACAGTTTTTGTCGGTCGTCCTTCAACCGTGTAAATCATTGTGACCGCACACTTGATGGGAGATATTTTATTCATGACGGGACGAAACAACGGACAGTGCTACAAAAAAAGAAAAGAAAAGCGTATCCACTACTAGACAAAAACCTTGAAGTGTATTCTTTATGAATATTGTAGAGACACCAATGAATATTAACATTTCTGTATTGTACAATAAGTTCGTTATAATTGTCAGCTTCATTTGTTTAGTCAACGGACAATAGATATTCGAAGTTTGACGACGAGATCGTGTTAATTGTCTTATGAATAATAGGTATAGGTATTTAGAGGCATTAAGACTGATCATCTAAATGTCTTTTTTCTATGAATATGAGTATAAATGGTCAGAATTATTACCTACTTAATGTTTCCTTTGTGCACAACAGGTAAATTTTAGTTAGGTACATAGACAATAAAATGGAAAAATATGTATAATGAGGAAGGTGCTAGAAACGACAGGTAGGATAATTTGTAAGAGGTTGAAGAACTGGTGTTCCACAAGGTAATGCTTAGGGGCCGCTCATCACGCAAAAAGGACCGAAGAAGAGCAATTGTCTGGGGCTATAACGTAATCAATCGAAAGGAACCGAATAAACGTGACGGGAAAGAACGTTTGAAAGACCTAGGTATATCAAACTTGCTTCTCTTTTTTTTTAACTGTAGGATGACCCTTTAGATAGCGCACATAGAAAATCACAATAAAATTACTAAATGATGTAAATGCGAGAAGATAATTTTATAAATAACGACTAAAATAAACTTGATATGAACGTGTTTGGGTTAGTTATTATTATGGTTTTGGGTTTAGGTTTGTTTAGACCTTAAAAGCATGCGTAACCCCTTAGCTTTCCCCTTTTAGTTGTCTCCCCACTAGCGTAAAACTTTACAACCAAAGGTATGCAGCCTGTGACAGAAGAATGTGGATAGCATTTTCCACCTCCTCTTCACAAAAACCACAGGATTATTCCCAGTTTGTACCTGTGGTAGCGCTCTATTCGTGACTTGTAAGGATTTCCACCAGAGTCTCGAATTTTCTCCTGTCGAGACTGAAAATTTGTTTTTCCTACTTCCTGCAGTTTGCAGAGGAGATAAAGGGCTTTGCCTTTCTTCATCTATGGTGTGTTTCCCAGTCTTGAAGCGCCCCATTCAGGCTGTTGCAGATACCCACAGCAGGCTCTGGGCGAGTGAGTTGCTGTTGAGCACCTGCATTAGTAAGGTCGTTTGCGAGCTCGTTTCCCGTTATGTCGCTAAAGCCCGGAATCCAGAGCAAAAGCACCCTGTTTTGAGTCAATATTTTGTTGAGGGCTGGGGCAGTTCTATAACAAGCAATGGTCTTTATTTCCGCCTGAAAGTGGTACTGAAAGCCTGCACCCACTACGGCTGTAAATACCAATTCCACGCCTCTCTTTGTTTCGGGACCCACTCGTGAAGGGGATGGAGACTTTTCTTTAGAATAGAGGGTGAGCTTATATTTTTGTCAAGAGGAAGAGGGTCTTTGTGTAGCTAGGGTGTATCTTAAAGATCCTCCCGTGATTACATCCTTGGACCTCTTCTTACCATCCTCTCTGTAGATGTTTCTGATCATATAGAGGGCCTTGGTTGCAGCCCCTGAAGACACCGAAGAATTCAAAGCTATGGAACACCGTCAGAACTGCCGTGGGTAGACTCCATCGCCTCGGTGATACTTCTCACCACGAGTCCTCTCAATTTCTTAAGCTCCCTGCTAGAGATAGAAAGAGCACCCTGTTCCACTAGGTTAACGCAGCTTAAGTCAGACTAGGTTTCAGTATCTCTTCAAAGATTCACATCATGGTAGCCGGTATAAGCCCTCCCCCTAGTCCCTTTCAGTTAGGGTTGCCATCCGTCCGGGTTTCCCCGGATTTGTCCTAGTTTAGAGGGCATCCGCGGAGCGTCCGGGGGGGGGGGCTTCATTTGTAGTCCTGGTTTAAAAATTTAAAGTCTTGGGCCGCCCGCCACACACGTAAAAGAAATCTAACTGATTATTAAAACAATTTGTAACAAACTGTAATAAGGGTAATAAGAATACAGACCACTTCGAATTATTTTATAAGATTCTGTTTTGTTAGGTACATTGAAAATGATGATAAAGAATGACTAAATTTAATTTTAAGGTCTGAAAATAAATAAAAGGGTGATTTATGACATTTTCAACTGTTTTTTGTTACACTGACTATGTTTAAAAAAACCTGTTGACATGTCCGGGTTCTGGACTCTAAAATCCAAAGTTTTCACCCGTCTTGCCCTGGTTTCCAAATTTTAGAGATGGCAACCCTACTTTCAGTAACCCTTCTGATTTGCTAAAGGCGTGCTGTTGTGGACTTTTTATCTACTGATTAGTGTCACACAATTATTATTTATTTCCATTTCAGAATAGGATTTAAAGAAAACGAAAACTGTTTTATAAAAATTAAAAATCGTCCAACTTTATTTACTATTTATTAGAAGAAAATTACAATTACTTTGATCAGTTAACTCATTGGGAACATCATTAACAGGTATAATAGGCAATAAAAGTAAGACACTTGTATTTGGATTCTCGCAATTGTTTCGACTGCTGTAGCATTATCAGATGGTATATGAACAGAAGAAATATTATCATATAGTTAGGGTACCATACAAACACTTTTTCCTTTGAAAAAATTTAACGTTAGGGTTTAAGGTGTTTAACAATAAGGGATGGGGAGCCGGGACAAAAAAACAATTTTGTGAATAATGGATTTGCTACTGTAGATTATTCTATAATACATATCTAATTTAGCTAATTATTTTGGAAATTTTTTACCAATTTTCGGCGTTAGGTACTGTCCCAATAATAATAATCTGTTGTTTTAAGTAAAGGTAAGCACCCTACGCAATGGGATACTTTTTATTATTATTGTCATTTACCACGGACGTGCTCCTGAATGTAGGTGAGTCGACTGACTTTTATTGTTAGTGTTACTTTATTGATACTGCTAAAAGTAACGAGGGGCCGCTTCAGTTTATTTTCATCCACACGCACCGAGATTTACGGCATTGTTTGCCATCTTTTTGTTCGAAATCCGCACGATCCTGTAATCAGAATAGCATCTTATGTGGGCTTTGCATTCATTTCTGCATTAGGCAAGCCATTTTGTTTATTTTCCAACGTATCGCTTACATACCTATGAGGTAGACATTCATTAATGTGGATGAGCGTTCCATTGCATGTGCTGTATTATAAATAGGAATTAACCTCACTATTTTTACAGCAGAACATCGACAATTCATATCTCGGTAAAGCAAGAATCCTTGTAATTAAAAAAAAAATAACTTACGTAGAAGCTTTTAGAAGTTATTCTTCTAATTGTAAGTATTTATCTGTTTGGACGTCATACACATACATGTGTATAATAAAAAGTATGAATTTATTTAAATAACAATTTGTACTTCAGTTAACAGTTGCTGATAACTTCCGTTGCATGGTGCGCGCGCAGTTTTCGTCTCCTGCTAAAACTTTACAATATCATACTGAGATACCGAGTTACAAAACCGCAATTTAAATTCAGTTATTCACAAAAGTTTAATTATTTTTTCTATTCCAAATAATCCGAAAAATCTTTAGTATTGATAAATTAGATTAGGTTAGACTTGTTTACGTCAGTTTCCTTTCTAATATTCGTTTTTTATTACCTGTTACATTACATTACAGTATACTTAAGTGTTGTACAAAGTTATCCCTATTCTTTTCCTTCCTTTAATCTCCCTTCGATAGACGATTTCGTCACCCGCACAATCGCTAAATTAAAATATTTTCATGGCGAAATACAGATGTTCCACAGAAAATTTTTTGGAAAATGAGGCATCTATTTTGAACGGATTTTATAAGAAAGCAAAATCTCAATTCATCCTGGTTGTTGCAAACAATAGTAGCAGTTCATACGTGATCCCGACAAATGTTTCCGGAATATTGAAAAATCTGATTAGCTTTTACTGCAGTATACTAGAGGTATAAACAAAAAAAAAAATAGCGCAAGGTCGGGTAGCTTATAACAAAAAGAAATCCTTTTTGTGCTCGCAATCGGTTAATCTGAAAATTCGAAAAAGACGATTAAAAGTGGATGTTTAGAGCACTCTATCAGAAATAGTTGGAAACATCTGTGAGTGTGGTGTTATAGGTGGATGTTAAAAACATCGTGGATAGAAAGTTTAGAAATGGGGAGGTGTTTGAAAAGAGTAACAAAACAGAGGACGCTATGGAATTCAATGAGAAATACGCGAGATGTAGTTGGGACGTTCAAAATAATTCGCAATAAAGTTGTAACATTTACTTTCTACTTTCAACTTATTAACTAGACTGGAGCGGTTGCTGACAGAACGCCTACTTTTACTCACGCCGGTGCACATAGAAAAGAGATGTCAGGTAGGAATTGCAGCGGACACTAATAAAGAAAAAGGAATAACACTACACCAATTGATGTGTAACAGAAAGAGATGCAGGGAAGCAGAATTTGCGCATGTTGCCAGCATTGGACTTTAAAGAAAGTTCAACATTCTCAGGAATTTAGGAAAACAAATACGCTAGTTTAAAGATTAATTCTAACCAGGCAGTTATAAAGCCGACCCTGATCTTTTACGTATCTAACCAACCTCTAATCGCTATACCGCTTACTGTTATTCAGTTATCTCTTTTCACTTTGTTTGTGCTACTCATGAAGCATTTCCTAACTTAACAAGGACGTGTTCAATACGCAACAAATGTAGTGTTGCCCAAATTCAGTCTTGGTCTTGTTCTTGCGTTTTTGCAAGACCAAGACCAAGAACAAGACCGCGTATTTTTAGCAAGACCAAGACCAAGACTGACCATGCAAGACTTGAGCAAGAACAAGACATAGCCTGCAAGACTCTTGCGTCTTGCAGCTAGGACTTAGCGCTATTTCACTGAGTAGTTAGGTGTAACAGTTCGGTGTATAGGTAGGTACGCTTAGGAATTCTATGAGACGCAAAAAACTGTATCAAAGAATATGAAAAACTGGACCTATGCGCATTACGACTAATACCATAAACATAGCGAATAAAAAAATTATTAAAATCAAACTGAGTGCATGCATAGTTATGTTTTAACCATCGGCACTTTGATAATGCGGCATCAAAGGTTTTGTACTTACTTCTCAAAGAAATTTGCCGCTTTTCGGAAGTACATGGTTATGATACACGCGCCGGCGGCTTCTTTTGAAATCTAAAACAATCGTTGCCGCCACGCCGAAATCATAACATTTGACACTATTTGATTGCCGCCATAGGGTGTAGGTATACTCATGCAAAATAATTTCGAATTTTTTTACACGCTTTATATTATTGTTTGATTTGCGGCGGCATCCTTATCATAGAGCCGGCACGTGGCGAGGCGGCGCGGTAGAAAGCAAGGATCATAAATGTTTATTAAGAAACAGTTACTTCCATGGAAAACGACATATAGGTCAGTTGATTTTTCGAATTTCTTATCAAATCTTCAGTTATTTATTAATCTGCTTGATCTTTACTATGGCTATATTCATTCAAGCTCACAATGTTCCAATTCTAATACGTTTTTCTAGGATTTAAAGTAAACTTTAATAAATAGTAATAGACTAATAGGTAATTGCAAGACTTGCAAGACTCTTGCTGCAAGACCAAGACCAAGACCAAGACTGGGAGCGCAAGACCAAGACCAAGACCAAGACCAGGTGTATTGGCGCAAGACCAAGACCAAGACTGGCTAAGTCTCGTCTTGTTCTTGCGTTTGGGCAACACTAAACAAATGACTATAATCTCAAGTGGAAACAAGAAAAAAGATTCGCCCATTCTCACAGATAATTTATTGAGGACTATGCCCATTTTAATCGTCTTAACCATAGGTTGATATAAGGTATCTTCTCATACACGACCGATTATTTAGAGACATTAGAAGCAGAAAAAAGAGTTAAGAACTATATAAATAGCCAAACCACTTTTCATATTCGTCATTAATACCTCAACGCTTCGTACCTTATACTAAAAACATAAAATAGTTCAACTTCATTAAAGAGAATTAAACGACAAATCTTTCTGCTTTTTGTAGTTAATTTTTACTTTAACCTTCGCAAATAAAAAAAATTAACAAGAAACATAACATAAGGTAATAAAATGCTACGAAATTACGAAATTATCTAAAATAGCACTGTAAGAAAAACTGTAAATGGTCTTCTCTCATTTAGATTAGATAGTTTGCGATATTATGGGACGATAGATCATGCGAGACTACACACACTCGGTAGGTACAACTCATACACAGTAAGTACCTGAACATAAAACTAAT